AAGGATCAGAAGAAAGAAAACATACCTAATCAGATTAAGGGCTCGGACAACTTTGTTGCTTGAATCCTTGAGGATTCTTGACACGTAACATCCCCAATCATGTATTTTCATAAGAATCCACATGATTGAGGAAGTTACGGTCAGAAATCTCAAAGGTTTTGTCTAGGGTTTTGCCAGTTTTTTTTAAGATCTAAAATTGGGGGAATTCCAGTAAGATTTGAACGATTTTGGTTGGGGGTTAACGATGAGGAAGCCATGGGGACTATGGGGTGTGAATTTGGGCCGGTTTGGATAGAGTTGTGTTTTGGCCGGAACTTTTGATTCAATATTCGAGAACTTTGGCTAGGAATTGGAAGATGATATTATGGGGGTTGGAAAGAGGAGAGGAAGATGAATCTGTGGTGTATTTTTGGTGGTCATTGGAGCTTCGCCGGCGGCAGCGGCGATTTCCGGCCGGCGACGGACGGCGGCGGGACGGTGGTGGGACGGTGGGGTACGGTGGCTTATGGCGGAGACGGTGACCGGCGTTACAGGGGTGGGTTGGTACGAGGAAGAAGAGATATTGTTTTGATTTTTTGTATAAAATTTCGGACAGCTATATTTGATCTTGGGGACTAATCATGGCCGTCGGATATGGGGAGATGAACGGTTGTGATTAAACGACGTCAAAACGACGTCGTTTTGTTATGGGAGGGACTGGACCGGGTGGTGTATTGGGCCTGGGTCTGGTATGTGGGCAAGGGAGGGTTTTCCTTTTGGACTAATACAAATAGCCCAATCCGGGCAATTTGTATTTTTTCCTTATTTTGCTTTACATTTTTTTTTGTATTTTTGTATTTGTTTATTTTCCTGATTTTTTATAAAATGCCTAAACAAAGCAAAGACCTAATTAAGCTATTTTAATTCCTAAAATTTGCTTGTAACTCTATGCAAAAATCAGTAATGCAAAAGACTACTTTCTTGCAATTTCTTTGTATTTTATTCTAAGACTAATTAATACTAAAATTGTGAAATTAAATCCCTAAATGCTAATGCATATTTTTGGTATTTTTTATGGATTAAATGCATAAAATGAATGCACCAATTACCAAAGAATGCCACAAAATTCACACAAAATTATAAAATATTAGAAAAAAAAAAAGTATTTTGCTTGAAATTTGGGAATTACTGCTTAGGGCAAAAATCACATGCTCACAGTGAGTGGTGGTAGTCGACAATGGTGACGACTATGATTGAGGATGGCAGTGGTGGTGGTTGAGTATGGTAGTTGTGGGTGGCATGGTGGTAGTTGATAATGGTAGGCGGTGACAGCATTTAATAATGAATATGGATGATAGCATCTTAATGAAATTAAGTCTATATGATAGATCCTAATCATACAGACCTATTCAGACCCATTAAGTGGTTGTGAAGTAAAAACAAACAAACACACTTAACGATTAAGATTTGAATAATTGAGATTCAGACTTTAAAAACAAACGCACTTAATATCTGAGATATGAATAATTAAGATTCAGACCTCCATTAAGTGCAAACAAATGAGGCCTTAGTGACTCTTACGAATTGATCAGATATAAAGTTCAGTCATGATAATAATCTGTTGAAAAGGTTAGGAATTTATTATAATACTATTACTAAGGCCCCGTTTGGCCACGAGTTTCGCCAAAAAAAATTTGGGATTTATTTTCAAAACTCATGCTTGGCCATAAATTTGCCCACATTTTGGCAAAATCCCAAATTCCAAAATCACCCCAATTGCTGATTTTGGGCCAAAATCCCAAAACTTGGGAATTATATACATGTTTTGCCAAAATAAAGTTGGAAAATATGTTTTGAAAACGTATGTCCAAACACATTTTCATCTTCAAACCAAACTTCATTCAAATCAGATTTTTCAAAATAAATTTGGGATCTATGACCAAACGCTAGCTAAGATTCAGCAAAGAGGATTAAAGAAGGACGATGTAGTTCAAAGTGAAAACACGTACGAATGAAAAGACGAACCAAAAAGATTTGGAGTGTGGGTGGAAGATCCGGAGACAAAAGGGAAAGAGGAGAGGAAAAAGGAAAAATGTATAACTAAATCCCTTAGTTGTAGGCACTAATAATAGATTGAGAGTCTTTTAAGGTGGAATGTATATATTTTGTAAACAAAACTTGTTTAGGTCGGGTAATTAACTAAACGTAGACATTTATGGTAATAAAGTTTCAAATAGTGTATAGGTATGTAAAAATCCCAACAAAGGTATGTAAAAATAGTGTATAGGTATGTAAAAAGGAATTTTTACCTCCTATAGAAAAAGTTAACCCCTTATTTATTTTAAATAAATACCATTTAAAAAAATTATATTCTATAGATACCTTTTAATGTTTATAGCAAAATATCTAATTTTGGTTAGCCCCTACCCCTAAGCCACTAAATACGCTATTTAGTTACACTATTTTCTTTCTCTCTCTACTTTGATACATGCCATTCTCTTCCCCATTCCCTGAAAACACGATCCTCAATCTCAACAAAGATCGTGCCACCAAAAGCCCAAGCAATACCAAGAATACCAATGCCGCCACAGATATCGCCGCCATCTTTAGTATCCGACTGATGCTTGTACCCAATTACAGTCATTAACTGCCTTTGTGGCATGTGTACTTTTCATTCTCTATCGTCGTCGACAGAAGAAAAGTGACGCTGGTTCGTCTTTGATCTCCAGTAGCATCCTTTCTTATCCCTCCTCAATAACGGATCCTGAAAAGGCTTCACACTATTTCGGAATTCATGTATTTCACTACAATGAACTGCAAGAAGCCACAAACAATTTCAGCGGAGTTTGGGGCTTTTGGTGGCACTATCTCCAGTGGGGTTTGTTCTTGAACAAAGACGACGGAGTTTGGGGCTGAGCAACTTGATTTTCTGCTAATATATTTCAATGTATTTTCAATGTATCACGATGTATTTTCATGTATTTCGTTGTATTCATTGTCTTTTTTTTCATTGTAATTCAATGTATCTCGCTGTATTCCATGTATTTCATTGTATTCATTGTCTTTTTTTCAATTGCACTTCAATGTATCCCGCTATATTCTATGTATTTCCTTGTATTCACTGTCTCGCTATATGACATGAATGTATTCATATATTTTTTTTAATTAATATAATTTATGTATTCAGATGTATTATATAATTTATCTGAAGGTTGTTATGTTTTTGGGGTATTTTTTGGTTGAGAATCTTTTTTATAACTGGAAATACAAAATTTGTGTGTTGTAATTGAGTGTGTTGAGTTATATTAGGAGTCTATTATGTTAATTGATTCACTTTCTGTTTAAAAAGTACAGTGTAATCCTCTGTTTCACGCCGTGAATACAGTCGAATACAATAAGTTATCCAGCTATAATCCCATGTTTCACGCCATGAATACAGTCGAATACAACAACTGATTAGCTGGACTTCCCTGATTCACGCCTATTTTTGCTACTGTATTCATGAATACAATAGCTTAAATACATCTAATACATCTAATAACAACAGAAAACGTATCTACAATCCGTAATATGGCAAATGGTATCAATAGATAGCTAATTACCACTAAAAGATAATGCTTTATGAAAATTTCTCATGTAAAAATCCCCATAACAAATACATACCACTTTTTGGAATAATATTTCCCTAATAATTAAAGACTATATTCATGAGATTGACTCAGGCACTGGATATTCATTTACCCGACCATCAGTTTTTTATTCTTCTTCGTAGAAAAGGAAAAATTAGTCAATTCTTTTACTTCTTTGAAGCTCTTTGGTAAGTATCATTATAACTTACAACTGCAATAGAAATTAATTCGCTAGTAAGTTTTATCATCATGTTCGATTTATTTGTTATAAGCTTATATCTTCGTATTTGTTTTCTTAATTACAATAGAGACTTGAAACACGTAATGTAATAGCTTATATGCAACTCAATATTCATTACCATCAAAGAAGGTGATTAAATGCATGAAATTTTTCACTCTTATTTAGAGATATCAAGTTCCAGTTATAAAAATAAAAAACTTATAATAAAAACTTTAGTTCTAATTGAGTTATACACGATGCTCATCCAAATTAATGAAACCTTTGAGCTTCAGCTATTATTCCCCTGTTTATTTTTAGTTGTTCACTTTGAACTTTGCACTCCTTTTAAGCCGTTGTAATTAAAATCGTTGAGCTTTAATTATTAATTAACGAAAAAATAAAAATCTCCATAGTCATTAGGATTATAAAAACTTGTAACAGGGTGAGAGGTAGGGGTGTTCGTTGGTCGGTACGGTACGGTATTTAAACATTTCGGTTCGGTATTTTCGGTATTCGGTTTCTTAAAATGCTATACCAGTACCGTACCTAATTAAATTCGGTATGGTTCGGTTTTTCTCTTTTCGGTTTCGGTTTATTTGGTTCGGTAACTTTGGTTTATTCGGTTTGAATAATAACAAGTGCAGAGAGTCATAGACTATAATATTCTTAATTAAAGTACTCAAAAGTACAAAACAGAAAACGTTTGTTGATAAAAAATTTGTCCAAAGCAAACAAATATCAACCTAGAGCGAGAAAACTACGCACAAAGGAATAAATTCGATCATTAGAAATATCTTCTTACTTGCTTAGAGTTAATTGATGAACTTAGAGAATAAAGGAAAGTAAAATTTTAATTTTTTATATTTATGTTATAATTAATAATATGTGTTTTGTGTAATATAATAATATATATTTTATTAAATAATACCAAATATCATACCTAATAATATATTTTTTTATAAAACTTAAACCAAATGGAATATCAAATACAAAATTTTGGTTTGCGGGCACTGAAAAGTGTGTAAGGCGTCAGATGGGAAAAGGTGGGTCCATTTGGAACTTATCCAAACACAGGTTATCCAAGTCACTGTCTAATAATATTGGGAGTTATCCCAAATTCCCAAACCAGTCCATGCTATATTTCCTTTACGTGTCTATCTATTCAAAGACTTTAACACCCATGTGGCCATGTTGCTTACACTAGTCTTACTCCATGCCTTGGTTTCTTCCTTAAATATCCTTCTCCATTTCAATTCTCACCATTAACTCAATTCAAGAAAGAAAGAGCTGATCATCTTTTCAAAATCTCACACATTCTATTGAATTTCAATCACAAATTAGAATTTGCAATCATGAGAATTCTTTCCCTTCCCTCTACCTCATTTTCACTTGTTGACTGCCATGTTCCCAAGAATTTGACATATGGGAATGTATCATCAGTGACGTTGATTCCAATGGCGAGGTCTCAATTTCAGCCTCAAAAGAGACGTAACTTTGGCAATAGCAATAGAACTCCAGGCTTTAGGTGGGTTCGATTGAGTATATTAATTCTCTGTTCTATACTTAGATAAATTTTTGACTTCAAAATTTGATAATTATGCTGCAGTTGGATGGCAACAGTGGGAGAGAAAGTGCAGGTCTCAACTGTTCCTACTTCAGTTCCAGTTCGTGTGGCACTTGAATTACTTCAAGCTGGCCATCGTTATTTAGATGTCAGGTACGTACTACTGTGCCAATTTATGCACTTTACTTCAATGAATTTGCCAAACAAATTGAGCTATTTTAGTATGAAAGGTTCAATCTTTAACCTTATTTTGTGCAGAACTGCTGAAGAGTTTAGTAATGGGCATGCTACTGGGGCCATAAACATTCCGTACATGTTTAGAATTGGCTCAGGTTCGGCTTTTTATATCCAGAAATATGAACTTTTAATTGCACTCATCCCTTGCAAATATTTCATTATATGAAGAATATATGTCCAATCAGTTTAATTACTTCTGTATATTTGGATTGGTTCAGGTATGACAAAGAACCCCAACTTCTTGGAAGAAGTGTTAAAACGTTTCGGGAAGGATGATGAAATTATAGTTGTAAGTCCACAAAGCTATAAGATGTTATAATAAGCTTTAATTTCATGAGTTAATGATTTATAAATTTGCTTTTGCTTATTAATATCTTTGGTTTGACTTTGCCTTGTGCAGGGGTGCCAGTTGGGGAAGAGATCATTTATGGCTGCGACTGATCTTCTTGCTGCTGTAAGTCCCTTTTACATACTGCGCCTCAAGTAAAGATAAAGATAATATTTGTAAAAGAGAATTTTGGATTAACATATAGAGAAAATTAGCAATACAAAGGGACGCTGCGTTTCCGATAGACAGGTTGACATTCCTCCTAGTAGGCTATCAACTCAGCGAAGGTGTTGGTGTACTCCACTTGCTCCGGAGTTGCCTATTTGGTCAGTATGCTTTGGATATGTATTGATTGGTATGACGGGGCCCTGTCCCGACCTTTATGATTTTATGTACTCTTAGAGACCTGTAGACAGATGTCAGGTGTATGGATACTTGTATGGCCTTGTCGGCCTATGTTTTGAGTTTACAAATGGTCATGTCGGCTTTATAGGCGCGTATGTCACATGTATAAGTTTGTATATCATGCTGGGTCATCATACGTTAAATATTCCCCTATGTTTTATTCTTGTTATCTCATGAAGGGTTTTCTAGCTCATTTACCCATGATAGTATGATAAGAAAGATATGTTACGTTGGTACTCGGTTGAGTAAGGCACCGGGTGCCCGTCGCGGCCCTTCGGTTTGGGTCGTGACAAACTTGATTCCCTTTCTGAGCTCACATTAATTGACTTATGATGTACTCTTACATACGAAAACACGGGGTGTAACATAAGTAATCTATTTGTCTATGCAGTGGCCCAGACATAGCCAAAAAAAAAAATATTCGCAAATATAAATGGATCCTGCTTGAAAATAATCCAAAATAAATACTCCTATTAATTTGGGACAAGAAGTAAAATCTTAGAGCCTCAGCACCTCCATACCTAAATCAACATACAAATTAAGATCCATACACAAAATTGAGTTGTAATAATAATATGTCGACATAAAATTCTATGTACCCTAATTGATTGTGTGCACCAATTATTTTGCAGGGATTTAGTGGGGTGACTGACATTGCTGGAGGATATGCTGCTTGGACAGAGAATGGTCTTCCGACTGACTCTTGATGTACAACATATATTAATAACACCATCTTAATTACTACTATGTACAGTAGTCAACGTAACGAAGTCAATTCCCTTAAGCACATCAAAATGCGGACAAGTTTGGTGGAAATATAAACAAGCAGCTTAAATACTTGTACAGTAATTTCTAGGCGATATCCTATGTGGTGAATCTGATAAGCTTACTGAATTACCCAAAATAAATAAATAAATAAATTGCAAGCAAGATGTGTAAATGTTCTCCTCATTCTGATGAAATAAATATTATTGCCTGAAAGTGCTCTCATCAGCTGACTTGCCCTCCCTCAAAATGATTGTCATGTTTGCTTTGAGAATATTAATATTACACTAGAATTTTAAATACAATTTTCCTTGTTTTGATATGTAGTAAGAAATTGCAACTTGTACTGCTCTTTCTTATTGTTATTGAATATCTAATTCCAAAGATGGATTAGTCTGTCTTCGATTTATCATTGAGTTAGTCAAATTAAAACTCAAGAAGAAAAAAATGATTATCTTTTTTTTTTTTTGGAAAAGAGGGACTGATATAATTGTACTGGTCAAAATCCATCTTTAATCGAAAGGGTATAAGTAAAGCATTCACAGGGCACCACGTATCGAAGTAATCTGATTATCAGCAAAGGCCGTGGTCAAAGAGTCAGCAAGATCAAAGTTGATGAGATGTCATCGAGGCAGAGGTCGAGCACCTTTGACAGAGTTATAACGGCTAATGTTAATATAGAACTTAAAGGAGAATATTTTAGTGGATATTCTCTGCATTTGTACTATTAAGGTTTCTAGGAACATATTCCCTATGAATTGAAAGAGACATAGTGATAGGGGACATGTGATATTCATTTTATAAAAATACTTTTGACTTCAAAGAAAGAATCAGATTCCATTGCAAGCATACAAACATCACATTTTCACTAAAAATTCTGGTCTAACTTTTTCACTAGATCCGAGAATAACTCAGGTATTCAAAGGATTATGCATCACTCATCTTTGTCAGAAAGAACATTCACTGGTTCCATCCTTGGGTGACTCATTTATTTTATTTACTTAAATATCATTTATTATATTGCTATTCATTGATATCGAATGCTACATAATAGCCTTTAGTTTCTAGAATATTGATGTATGCTGACAACATTGTCAAACCATATTTACGTGTATTTATTGTACTTTTGAGAACTCCATCTCTGAGATATTATTGTTAGCTAAGATTAACCCTCATTTATATAAATTTAATTAGTTGAACCAAGAACTACATTTTTTTGGTCAAACAATAATACATACATGCACTTGTACACTTGTATGTAAGGGTGTACATGGACCGGGTTAGTTCGATTTTTATCAAAGTCAAACCAAACCAACTATATCGGTTTGGATTGGTTTGGTTTTGTCGGGTTTTTTGTTGCTTACAGATTATTTCAATCTTACTTTGTTAAATATTTGATAAGTAAATATATATATAGTAAAAATATAAAAAATTGACAAACATATTATCGATTAAAATATTCTTATGGGAGAATTCTATTAGTAACACATAGTAGTTATTTTTTTAGTCGTCTGACAATAATTTTTCGTTATTTTACACTTTTAGGTTAACTGAATTTAATTAAGTATAAAAATCAATATGATACCTAAATATTAATAATCACTTCACATCCGAAAAAGATATAAGAATTTAATAGATTTTAACATATAATATGAATATGGAAGAACAAAGAGATAGACGCATTTCAGTAATACTTGATAAAAAAGTGATCATACAACCCATTATTTAATGTCAATAAATATGGAGCACTTCATATTCTATTAAAATTTATATTCCGCAAAAGAATCCCAAATAATTCTAGATAATTTTTAAAGAAAATTCTATATAAAATCTTAAAAGTATATATAAAAATTATATATTTATATGTCGGGTTGGTTTAGGTTTTTTCACGCAATACCAAACCAAACCAAATCGAGTTTTTTAATCGATTTGCTTTGACTTTTGGGTTTGGTGGAATATTTCGGTTGGATTGGTACACCTTACCCGTATGTCCTTCCGATTATAAACAAGGAAAACTGACAAGCAGCTTTATTTTACAACTTTGCTCTGCTTGAAAGCAAAGATATATAAGATGGTAGGTACAAATAGCTTGGGCGATCCAATAGAACACACAAAGCAAACTCAATAATCTCATTCTGACATTAACGAATCATAACGGAAAACAACGTGAGGGTAATATTATTAAAATACTTTGGTAGAGCAATGCAGGGCGATATAGAAAAACCACATAAAAATTGACCGGCCAACTTCTAGGGAATAGCGTTGGTTTGAATGTAAAGGATGATACGCATCTGCAGAAGCAGAACAAGCCAGTACTACACAAGTTGAATCTTTTTAAATTGACTTAACAGCTTGTTTGGAGGGTTGTTACATGTTGTATTGTATCATATTGTTATTTTAAATATAATATTTGTTTTGATTATTACTTAAATTTTATTGTATGGTATCGTTAAATTTATCGTTACGTAACGATGAAAAGTGCCACTTTATGGAACGAGCGTTTGGTGTGGTCGCACAATTCCCTTATTTTTTTCTCTCATCTTGCCCTTCTATATTATTAAATAATCCTACTTTATCCTTTACCCTACCTTTTTAGTATAATGATTCTACCTCGTACCTTACTTTTTCTTTATAATATTGCAAATTTATTCTTCATATTATTGGTGCATGATATCATGAAATGACGAAAAAAGAATATAGTTTATCTAAACATTGTATACATCAAAACGATACAATACAATACAACACAATATATTATGAAATGATACATAACAACCATCCAAACAAGCTGTAAGTTGAATGTACTAAAGGTGTGAAAAATATTCACACAATCAGCTTTATAAAATAATTACAGGAAAAGCATATGGTAAATATTAATTATCAACTTAAGAAAAGTATTAATAATTAGGCCACTATTATACGCTTGTTAAATTATACAAATAAGATAAATAATCTATATCGTCTATGCATATAACTTAAAATCAGTTTACTTTTAAATTTTCTTTCTTTGATTTTGATCTAATTTTGGTTGGTATTCCAGTACTCCAAAAGTCCCTAGGCCGGCCATGTCCTAACATCAGTGGTCCCTGGTGCTGGAATTAATGGTGTTTAGAAATACTTAAAAGTTACACAAAATCAATTTCATCTAGCCACGTTCTAAGTAGACCCATTGTCCCATTACAAACATGTTGCCCACGTTTTCTTATTTTACAGAATGAATAACACACATAAAAATCTATCCATCCAAAATTGAAACTAACCAAAACTAGAATCTAACATTATCAAACATGAGGATGTCCAAGAAGAATTGGTTTGGCAGTGTCCGTAATAAACTATTCAGGTCATCTCCTCCACATAAAACTATCATTGTTCTTCATAACAACACCATTACAACTAGGACAAGCAGTGCAAATGGGCAATCTACAAAGCACAATGGCCGCACTTATTTTCTATCTAAAGAGGATATGGCTGCTATTACTATCCAATCTCACTTTAGGGGTCATCTTGTAAGTTGTACTTAACCATGTTCTTAATTTTCCTTTTGACGTTAATTAATATTTGCTATGTATACATGTTCTTGATTCTGGCTATGTAAATTATAGGCGAGACGGGCGTTTAAGGCATTGAAAAGTCTTGTGAGGCTTCAAGCAGTTGTACGTGGGGCATGTGTGAGAAGACAAGCTAGAATAGCTCTCCATTGCATGCACGCCCTTGCACGCCTGCAAGTAACTGTCCGAGCTCGCCAACTTCTCAGCAAGTGCGACAATCGTCGATAATCATATACTATCTTCTTCAGTATCTCCCTCCATCTCGTGGCGTACACAGGATTTTGAGCTTATTATAACAGTTCGGCTAATATATGGATTTGAGTCCGGAATTGTGGGGAGTTTAACCTTAGTACTCCCTCCATCTTAAGGACATTACGTTTTTTTGCTTCTCTATAAACAAAAATATATATGCAGATTACAGTTCTCTTGTAAATATACTTTTCAAGATTCCAGGATATGAAAGTTTGAGACTTTGTGGTGTATATTATAAGTAACTAGTTTCAAAATGTTTGAAAGTTGTTTTGGAGTACGAATTAATTTTCGTTGATCAATTGCTTTTCTTCAAGACAAAAATTAATTTTCTTGTGGTCGCACTTAAAAGCCAGTCAAACCAATTAAACTAACAATTGGAAAGTAAATAGGCAAATCCGATAGGATGGAGGGAGTACGGAATGCCTGAACATGAGAGTTGAGTCTCTTATTCCTCAGAACTTGCAGTTCAACTAACAATGATTTTGTAAAGTTGTATGTGCTGTTTTCGTGTCCTCAATCGTGAAGAGAGTTTTTAAGATTATTATTTAGTTGTGAATTCTGGTAAGCTTCTGGAGAATGTTACTATTCAGATCTGACTACATACATGAATTATTTTGTAAAGCATATACTATGTACATATGGGTTGGTAAGAAGATATATATTTCTTCTACTTGTGTATCACTGCTGAAAATCTCCACAAAATGAAATTGTTGGCTAAGGATTCTAGGTCCAAATTAGGGTAAGAGGAACTGCATATTTCTTCTACTAGATTAGTTTCTCTAACTAACTTTTGCTTTTTATCCCCTCTTTTCCTACCAAAGCTTCACTGGAGTATTTATTTGGTCCCTTTTTATATCAATAACCTAGACTCCATGAACCCCAACTTTTTACTTTTGAGGCACAATTCAATGGGGAGGTGTCTATATATTGTGAGCTAATCATGGCAGAGCTTCAAATAGCCAAGTCCAAGGGGATGATAATTAGTATTACGAATAGTGTAAACGTGCACCGAATAAACGATTCCAAGTTTTGGTATTCTGCTTTTATAATGTCACTCCCCCCTCTTTATAGGGATCAAAAATATGATGGAGGTATTCAAATTTTCTCAAATTGTTGCTGATCATAAAGAAGTTCAATGCTATCCCAGACAACGTTGAGACCGTACTGAACTGGACATTCTAACAGCTAATTAACAGCTTCCAATTTTTCATCATTCTCTGTAGGGGTGTTCATGGTTCGGTTTAGACCGGTTTTTCCCTAAAAAGAAACCAAACCAAGTAAGTCGCTTTTTTAAATATTAGAACCAAACCAAACCAAACCAATTAAGTCGTTTTTTTCTCGATTCGGTTTATGTCGGGTTTTGTTGGTTTTTTGGTTATTTGTCGGTTTTTTCTTAAATAAAAGACATATACTACCAAACACATATTCCGGCTATCACATTTTCAACGTAACACTATCAAATCAATTGCCCTTCTATTATTTACTAAAATATATTGATGATAATTGAATCAAATAGTGATAAATAATTTAAGGACTCAATTAAAAATATATATTTTTTAACATGAAATGGATTCTTACCCTTAACAAAAGTAAACTACCAATCAAACTAGATATAAAGGTAAAGAACTGTACTAAAAGTGCAAACGATTAACATTCACCATAAAATTTTTGAAACTTTGTATAAAATATACATATGTATAGGTGTAATAATAAATTTGAAATAGCTACTCCTATAGTCGGTTTGGTTCGGTTTTTTTTGGTTATTTTTATATTAAAACCAAAACCAAACCAAATTTGATCGGTTTTTAAAATTCAAAACCAAAACCAAACCAAACCAAAAAATATCGGTTTTTTTGGTCGATTTGATTTGATTTTCGGTTTGATTCGATTTTTCGGATTTTTATGAACACCCCTAATTCTCTGGTTATCCCTATCCAACTGAACTGCGTTCTTAAATTTAGTGCAATCAGCTCCTCTTGATATAATTTCTCATAGTACTCAAAGATCACTCCTTTAACACGATAGATAAAATATCTTCTCAGTGAAATTATTTCTACTGTTCACTTTAGTAGTCCAGTAAAAAGATTTCCTGTATTACCCTCATTGTTTCAGCTTCAGCCATGCCAGTCTGGACTGTTGCCTCCGAGGTGTGGCAGGGCAGTAGATGTACTCATTTTTATATAAAAATATTGGGTACTATTTTCATACTTTAAAAAATGTCTTCTATTCCATAATAGAGTCATTGTTTCTCCGATGACGATTTGCTCATGTTGGTACCTCTATTTTATATCGGGAGATCTTTTCCGAGTCAGTCGAATACAAAACTCACTAAGAAAATGCTGTGCGATAGAACGTGTAAACACGTCTTGGATGAAAAGCTATATTCATTGACTATATATCTTACCAGTTTTCTTTACATCCCTGTAATCTGAGGCGGCATCGGTAGACATCTTGGTTAGCTTCAAAAGCATCAAATTCAGAAGCAATGATGGTGCCAAGAACCAATTGAAAAGATAGAAATTCTCAATAAGAAACGTACAAAAAGGATTAGCAACCAGCATTTGCGAATTCACAGGAATTCTGTACAGAGTTGCTAAAGCTTTCCTCACCAGCTTACGCCCCTGACTAAATTAGGAATAGTAAAAGAATGCCAAGCAACATTGGATAAAAACCATGATTTTCAAAAACTAATCGGATCAAGTCTGGTCATAATCGGTACACCGAAACAAAAGTGGAAGGCCAAGCACCTTCCTCTCTTCACAAAAATCTCAGTGATGGCCCTTTCTAAGAGCTGAGAAAAAGCTACCAATTGATTTGTCCTTCTGTTTGTCCTCTCCATCACCTCCAACCTGTTTTTTAAGCATAGAAAACCAGGTTCAAAGGAAAGGAAAAGCCTTAACAAAATCAAGCTTATATTATGCAAATGCCCAACCTCCCTAGTTAGATGCTGCAGAATATCCAAAATCTCCGAGAAACCAGGTCTTTGACTTGGGTCTTGCTGCCAGCATTTCTCAAGAAGTTCAGCAAGCTTTGGATGAGTGTCCTTGGGAATTGTTGGCCGTAGACCCTGATAACCATGAGAAACCAAGTGTTAGGTGTTAATGGGGAATATATCACTAGTGCTGGACGACAATGAACTGTATGCTACCTGTTGCACCACACCTATTGCTGCTTGTAATGGTGTTAAGTACGCATATGGAATCTGCTCCATCGCAAGACATGAAAGTTATTGTGGTGTTAAAGAACTAATATGTGAACATAAATAGATACAAAGCAAAACTTTTTTCAAAAAAAGAAAACAAAAAAAGAATGCGAAACTTACTTCTCCAGTCAGAAGTTCCCACAGCACTATACCAAAGCTGAAAACATCGGCCTTGTGGTCATATGGTTTGTGTTCAATTACCTTCAACGAATAAAAACCATTTTAAGCATGAAACTTGGATGCTGCAGGATAGTTAAGCACAAAATTGGGCCAAACTCTTTGCTGAATAGAATGTTGGACTGGGATGACACGAGAATTCTGTAGTATTAAAGGGAAGAGAAGCAAAAACCATTAAACCAAGAGTTCCCGTTTAAATGCTTAATATTGCAGAAACCCGATCTATCTGCATGGTAAACTGTACACGGAATCCCGCGATGCATATTACCGATGACAACCTAAGTAAAATAACCCTCGTACAAGGTTGTCAAAAGCGCCTTGTGCTTAAAATGCCCAAGATGCAGCAGAGTGCAGCAAACGAACACAAGTCCAAAGACATCATGAGGTCTTAGGTTCAAATCCCAGTGGAGACGAAAACGTTGGGTTATTTCTTCCCATCTGTCTAAACCTTGGTAGACGGAGTTACCTGGTACCTGTTCTAGTGGGAGATAATAGGTATATGTTGGAATTAGTCAGGTGCACGCAAGCTAACCCCGACACCGCCGTTATAGAAAAAGAGAACACAAGTCCCAAGCACTGCCTGTAGATGACAACCAGACTTCATAGAGTGGGTGGAAACAAAATCGAAGGATAAAAGGCAAAATTCAGAGAGCAACATATTAAAAGCTCCTCATGATTAAAGCAAAGAAGCCTAAGGTGTTTCAAAGTAAAAGTCCTATCAGCTTGAAGGGGACCATTACGCTTATTTTATTGTGGCAACAAATCTAAGCACGCGGATAAAAGCATAATTGGTGGAGCAATCATGCATCTTGGCAGCAAGAAAACCAAAGAATTGGAATCATTAGTTCAACTGAATTGAGGATGTTGTAATTAGTACTGCATAAAATTAAATTCAGATCTCTGCACCTCAGGAGCCATCCATCTATATGTTCCAGTTTCTGCAGTCATCACCCCAGTTTGAACCTGCACTCTCGCAACCCCAAAATCACCAACCTTAACAACCTGTTCAGTAGAGGATGGATCTTAAAGTCAGAGTGAACATTCTGTGAACAAAGCAATTACACAAAAAGCAACTCTTACCAGCAGCAATTTATAGGTGTTGCTGGGTTATTTTATAAAAGTTCATCAATAGATTTCCTTGGAATGCAAAAACTGGTGATGTAGACATTAACAAGAAGGTTAACTCAATGTGCTATTCGCACATTCACATCTTTCACAATGAGTCAACTTAAATTGCCACCGATCAAGCTTTAATGCTGCTAATATTACTCACTGAATATTTTTAAAGGACTCAATGAATAAGTGGACCTTGCAATTTAACATTCCCATCATCTTTATTTGGTATTTCTTCTAAAGATTTAAATACACACATTTTGATTCTTTAATTTGACATCAAATAGTTTTTAGATGTTTTCATCCACATCAATCAGGCATTTCAGAGCACCAAAAAACATTGATGGACTTTTAACTCATACAAATCTCCATATTTGTTATATACTCTTAGACTCCCATAGCCTAATCATATGACACAGTTTTCCCCTGTATTTTGCCAGGCTAAATGCATATTGACCTTGATTTCCCTACAGGTTTTAATTGCACATAAATTTTGACTGAGAATGGATATACTGGCCCGAAGATAGCTTAGTAACAAATGAAATAATACCCTAGACTCCAAAGAAAAAAACTTTACGACTACTGGACAAGCTTTTTAAAAGAGTCGAGATCCAGCTCGGACTTACTCCATGTTCATCCATCAGAAGATTGGCAGTCTTCAGATCCCGATGAATTATGTTATTCTGGTGCAGATAACTCATTCCCTTAGAAACATCAACTGCAACCTTCAGGAGAGTA